CCCGGGCCACCCCCTGGGGGGGGGGGGGGGGCGAGAGAAGAGCACCCCGCGCTCTGCGCGCGCCATGGCCCACTTCTCCAGCGTTGCACAGCCTCCACGGACAGCGCGAAGGCAGCCGCACATCTCGGGGGGCGCGGTGGGCGAAGTGGGGTGAGCAGGCTCTCCTCCCCCCCGAACCACCAAGCTCACCAGGGGCTCATTGAGCCACCGGCGGCGGAGCCGGAGGGAATGCCCGCGCGAGTGCTTAAGCTCCAGTCTAACAGTTGGACAGACTTCGAGTGGGGGATTCACTACAGAATCGAGGTACCCAAGAATGGGTGCTTCCCGTCGAAGCTCGATATACAGCAAGTTCCACGCATTCTTGGCATTGTTGGCGAAAAAGCGAATTTGGGGGTACCTCTCCTGCGGAGGCTTGCCGCCGCCACCAATCCTTCGAGATGGGTGTTCTTGCAAGGCGTTGGGCCCACAATCCAGGGGCAGAAGAGCCACCCAGACCCCCTCTGGCATGGCGTTCACTGCACAGCTCTGGGCGCTGACCAATTGGATCGGGAAGGGGAAAAACATACAAATAATCGTCGATTCAAACAGACGATTGGAAAATATGAAATGGGGGAGATGACGAGAATCATGGAAATATTGGAACTTGGGGAATCTTGGGATGTGTGTCTATTTCAGAGTGTGCCCCTGGCCCCGTGAAAAGAACCCAACTCTGGTCGATTCTGTTTTGAGGTGCGTTTCATATAGTAAATCTTGATAGTGAGGATGAACCGTTTGCCAAGGTTACTTCTGCATCCTTTCCCTGCGGCCCATCGTTAGCCATCTTCGCTGACCGCGCCCCGCTCGAAAAGTGTTGGCATGGCCTTTCAGGGTTCATGCATCCTTACAGTCGGGCTGAGGTATAAGATGGTCGGTCTGGGGAGTGTACCCTATTGGTCTTCGTGTCTGTTGGATGTTCTTGTGCATTCTGGGGGGAAGGTGCCCTCGAAGGTTCTTTGGTGTGGGCCAGCGGAGGGTCTCGAGTTCTCGAAGGATCTGTTTTCTGTCTTGGGTCCGACTGTACCGCCCATCCTTATTATCCGCTGCTCACTGCAGGGAGCTTCGATCGTCGGGGTGCTTCTGCCGAGCGTGGCTCCGCATGATCGGGAAGGAGAAGAGGAAGAGGAGGGGGAGGAGGAGCAGGAGGAGGAAGAGGAGGAGGGGGAGGAGGAGGAGGAGGAGGAGGAGGGGGAGGAGGAGGAGGAGGAGGAGGGAGGAGGAAGAGGAGGATGAGGAGGAAGGGACCCGCAGCGTGATCGGGGACGAGGAGGAGGAGGTGGAGGAGGAGGAGGTGAGCGGCGGAAGAAGAAAATGAAGAAGAAGAACATGAAGAAGAAGAAGAAGAAGAGGAGGAGGAGGAGGAGGACCCCGACAATCGAAGCTCCCTGCGTCGGCAGCTCGGGCGGGGCCGCCGACCCCCCCCCCTCCCTCGGGCCCCCGTGCCTGCCCCCCGCGGGGGGGGGGGGGGGGGCAGAGGAGCGGCGGGGGGAGGCTGCGAACACGCGAGCGAGGGGCACCGCCGCGAGCGAGGAGCGCCCTCCCCCCCCAGGACGAGGAAGACGAGGAAGACGAGGAGGACGAGGAGGACGAGGAGGACGAGGGGGACGAGGAGGACGAGGAGAACGAGGAGGACGAGGAGGACGAGGAGGACAAGGGGGACGAGAAAGACGAGAAGGACGAGGGGGACGAGGAGCACGAGGAGCACGAGGAGGGCGAGGAGGACGAGGAGGACGAGGAAGACCCTTCTCCCCAGACCCCCTTCCGATGTGACAAGATCACGGCGGGAGCTTGTTCTCCAGTTTCGCCCCCCCGGGGGCCTTGAGCAGCCCTCGGGGCCGTGAAAAGACGATTGGGGGTCGTCGTTGGACGAAGGAAAGTGACTTGGAGAAGGGATCGAGTCTTCTGGGGCTCCGCGTCATCCTCGCTCGCGGCGGATCCCCCTCATCTTTCTGTTGCTGCCGTTCCTCTCTGGGCGCGGGGAGGGGGGAGGGGGGGGGGGCAGGAGCAGGGAGGACGAGGAGGAGGGGCCGAGCACGGAGGAAGGACGGGGAGGAGGAGAAGTAGGCAGGAGAGGAGGCGGGAGGAGGAGGGGGAGGAGGCGGGAGGGAGGGAGGAGGAGAGGAGGGAGGAGGAGCGGAGGAGGGGGAGGGGCAGGGGCAGGGGCATCAGCAGGCAGGGGGAGGAGGAGGAGAAGGAGGAGGAGGGGCAGGGGGAGCCGCAGCATGATCGGGAAGGAGAAATGACAGAGGAGGAGGAGGAGGAGGAGGAGGAGGAGGAGGAGGAGGAGGAGGAGGAGGAGGAGGAGGAAGAGGGGGGGGAGGGGCCGGGGCGTCAGCAGGCAGGAGGAGCAGGCAGAAGGAGAAGGAGGCGGAGGACGAGGGGGAGGACGAGAGATACCGCCCCCTCTCCCCCATCGTCCTCCTCCTCGTCCTCCTCGTCCTCCCCCTCTTCCTTCCTTCTTCTTCCTACAGCCCTAGGAGACGAACGTCTGTGGTGTCCACACGTGCACGAGAGACGCAGCCGAATCTCGCCCGCAAGAACCAGGCAACACTGCACTCGCCCGAAGGATCGAGTAGCACATGAAACAAGAACCCTTGACGGGAAGCGCAACCCCAACATATATGGGGGCGCAAGCAGCCACGACGAGAAGCGCAACCCAGCGGACGACGTGGGGCGCAAGGAATGGCGTATGAGGGCACAAGAATGGATGCACTTTGCACTCCAAGAATGCAGCTAAGCGCCACTCACTGGTAGACGATCTCAGGACTCCTGGCGGCCATGTGGCAGTACACCTTGTCGAAGGCTGTCTTGTCGCTGAATAAAGGCAGGAAGAAAGCGGCCACCCCAGACTGCCCTTCTCGAGCAGCAAGGTCGTACAACAGCTGGAACACCTGGTCGTTAGCAACTGGGTCCAAATGTTGATACTCGAAGGCGGCCGTTTGGAACGCCATGCCGAGAGACTTTTTTGTATGGGAGCCGATAGGCTCAAGACACAATGCCTTGACACGAGTGGCCTCCGCACCAGTCTTGAAAGCCCAGCGGTCAGCAGCGTCGTCGTAGAAGCTCAGGGTGCCTTCACGACCATTTAGCAGCGGCCTAGCCTTGAGGCCAACCAGGCGCGCGGCCATGCCTGGAGCGAATGTGTGCTTCTCGCTGTGCTGCTGAGGAGCAGTGGCATTTCCGTGCCGCTGGGGCCTCACCACATCAATATCAGTCTCTGCCTTTGCACAGGGTTTGCTCTCCATCGCCACAGAGCCCGAACCAGCCGCGCCACCTGCAACAGACAGCTGCTCGCTGGACGACTCCCCCTTCTCGTGCGCCAGGACTGGCCCGATGGACTCGGCGTGCGTCTGGCGCTTGGAGCCCTCCTCCACCGCAGAACGCATGGCCGGCGGCGTACCAGAGCAGCCCTCGAAGAAAACCGGAAGGGGCTTCACGACAAGACGGATGCGGGTTTCGCCTTTGGAGTTTTTGTGCCCGTGGTCCACGATGATGGCGTTGCCGATGTCAAGCTGCACCATGTGGAGCAAACTTATCGTGAGGCTGTTCCGCATGGTCGGCTCCCAGACGGGGAACAGGCAGATCTGCATGATCAGCTTCTCGCTGTGGCTGCACAGTTTGACAACGCTTTGGCGGCCATTCGCTAGCTCCTGGATGATCCAATGGAGCCTGGCTGCTGAGACCATGGCGGCGCGGGGGGCAAGGGGGGAAACAGCGGCTCGCAAGTGCAAGAGAATAGCCCCTCCTCAGGCAGTCGCCTGAGCCACGGGGGCCCCCCCTCCTCCTCCTCCTCCTCCCCCTCCTCCCTCCCCTCCTCCCTCTCCTCCTCCTCCTCCTCCTCCTCCTCCTCCTCCTCCTCCTCCTCCTCCTCCTCCTCCTCCTCCTCCTCCTCCTCCTCCTCCTCCCCCTCCTCCTCCTCCTCCTTGTCCTTCCCCTCGTCCTCTTCCCCTCGTTCCCCCGCCCCCCACCCTGCGCCAGGTCCTCGCGTTCCTCTCCGGCGGCCAGGTGCAGGGCGCGTCCTACGCGCCAGCGAGCGGACAGATCGTCGGGGCCTCGGACGGCGCGGTCGTCGTCGTCGGCGTCGGCGTCGGCGTCGGCGTCGGCGTCGGCGTCGGCGTCGGGGTCGGCGTCGGCGTCGGCGTCGTCGGCGTCGGCGTCGGTGTCGGCGTTTGCGTCGGCATCGTCGTCGTCGCGGTCGTCGTCAGCATCGTCGGCGCGGGCACAGAGGTTCCATTGCCGTCACAGAGAGGCACTGGGGGATCGTTCCTCCTCCCCTCTCGTTCTTCCCCCCCTTCTCCTCATGGCCTTCCTCCCCCACTGCCCAACCTCCTCCTGTCCTCTTCTCCTCTCCTCCTCTCTGCGCACTCTTCTCTCTCTCCTCCCTCTTCTTTCTCCTCTCCTCCTCCTGCGGCGCACGGTAAGTCACATACGTCCGAGGCCTCGGGCTCGCGATGTGGCTTCTTCCATGTTCCGTCCCACGTCGCTCCGCCGTTGGCGTGCCTCCGTCTCGTCCCCCTCCGAGTCCCCCGCGTCCTCCCCGACATAGTCCTCGTCCCTCCCCAGGGGGATTGACGGCCGCCTGACTGCACTGGGGCGGGGGGTGGACACGTTTGCGCAAAGCCGCCTTTGGGGAGCATGCCGAGGCCTGTCGCGATCTCTTCTCTGCATTCCTCATCCTCAACTGCCTCCACGGTCTCCTCCTCCTCCTTCCTCCTCATATTCCTCCGCATTCCTCAGTCCACCTCCCTCGTTCCTCCCCATCATCCCGTCTCCCCAGCATCAGCGCTCAAAGGCCTTGATTTGAACTGATTAGCATCATCCTCATCATCCTCGTCCTGCGCCCTCCTCATCGTCCTCGTCAAGATTCCCATGCGAACCAGAGATGCTCGATAGCTCGATGCATTGCATCTTCTGCACCCAGGGTCGGCCGCGGCCCGCCCGCGCAGGTCGGGATCCTCAAGCAGATGGGCGATACCATGGAGAAGAACCTCGCCGACGCGACCGAGCAGGAGAAGGAGGCCATCAAGGCGCCAGAGGAGGAGGACGAGGAGGAGGAGGAGGAGGAGCAGGAGGAACGATTGCGAAGCAGTATCCAGGACTCTACTTGGAGAGAAGCCCTCGACCCGCAGTCGCACACTGATACTGATCGCCGATAGAGGCCCGTTACCCCCCCCCCCACACACACACACCGCCCTGGAACTGCCGGATTCGCTATCGGGGGGAGTGTGCGGACGAGGGCGCCCATCGGACGGGGCTAGGGCGAGGATAAATCCGGTCCTGAGCGTTCCAGAACGCTCTGAGGAGGCCGCGGCGCCCGAGACATCCTTCAGAACCGCCAGATCTCAGAGATTGTCGGTTTATCCCCACCCGATATGATTCTGGATGGGGTATTTATCATGGGGGGGGTGAGTAACCTCCCGACTGAGCTTGCCCAATCCCGCCCCCTGCGTCCTCCCCCTTCTCATCCCCCTCCTCTTCCTCCAACTCCCCCTCCACCCGTGCCGACAGCACATGCCCAATCGTCCCAGCGGATTCAAGGGGGGTGCGATTGGTGTCCCATGCAGATGTGCCCTCGTCCTGGCTTCGTCTTACGATGTTCCCCCCCCCTGCGGAGGGCGGGCATCTGCAGGAGCGCGCGGAGGAGGCGACCACGCCTCCGCTGAGGCACGGCGGAGGGAGCCCCCCAGATGACAAGCCAGCCAGGAACAAAAGGGGTGGCGACCCAGACGGGCACCCCCAGCGGCCGAGAAGGAGGAGGAGGAGGAATCGTTTAACCGATCCCCATCCCCTTCGAGACCCCCACCAAATTACCACCCCAGTTGGGGATACACCCCTCGAAACCCGAAAGAAACGACCTACACACCCATCTAGGGGGGTAAATCGGCCAGCGGGGCCCAGGCCACGCCGCTGGGGATGGGGATCGGTTAAACAATATTCAGAGGAGGAGGAGGAGGAGGAGGAGGAGGAGGAGGAGGAGGATCGCTTTAAACCCAAGAGTCACCAACGCTGTTGGAATAAGCCCTCCCTCCGAGCTCTACCTCTTCATGGGCCCCATGCAAAGGTTCATGTCCACGGAGGGAACTGACTCGTCGGAAAACAGCCGATTGAAGACCCTGAGGCATGCCAAAACAATATTATCGGGACTCCAACGCCACAGATGAACGTGACTGTTGCGTCTTGACGATCTTGAATCGCGCCAGAAAGCCACTCCTGGGGCTTTACACCACCAATCAACGTAACTGCTGCACCCTCACAGTCCTGAATCTTTCCGAAGCACGATTTCTGGACCGCTGACCATAGGAATCTGTGAAACTCGTGTATGTTGTGCAGCGAATGTGCGCGGCGTTAAGGCGAGAGCCACCTTTTGAAAAGGAACCGCCCTTAATCCGTGCAACTCTTGCAAATGGTTCAAGCGGATGTGCGCGGCGCGAAGGCGAGATCCAGATTTTGAAAAAGAACCGTCCTCAATACGGGGAATTCTTGCACATGTTTAAAACGAATGTGCGCGGCGGTAAGACGAGAGCCACAGTTTGAAAAGGAGCCGCCCTCCACCTGTGAAACTGTTGCAAATGTTTGAGCTTCAGGGTCATCAATGGTGAGGAAGTCTCAGGCGAAACGCCAGGCCCGCCCTACGGACAAGTCTGGTGTGAGAGGGCGAGGAGTTATCTATAAGGAAAAGGGATGGAGGAGGAGGAGGAGGAGGAGGAGGAGGAGGAGGAGGAGGAGGAGGAGGAGGGAGGAGGAGGAGGGGGAGGAGGAGGAGGAGGAGGAGGAGGAGGAGGAGGAGGAGGTTTTCTGTTGTGGCATGCGCCTCCTGTGGAGCTGTGTCGCCGTGGCAGCTCACGGCACCCCTTCAGCCTTGCAAGAGTCCAGGGGCCCACGGCCAACGTGCCATCCGGGCGCTGAGGGAAGGTTATCGTGCCCCATGCTACAGGGGGCGAAGGTCGCGACGACAGCTGTCGCGGCCAAGTAGGGTTCAGTCGGGCATGTCCCCCCACAGGAGGTAGATTCAAAACTGGTATCAAACCCAAAAAAATGGTCTGCGGACGACTGTTTTACCATGTTTGACCATTGTTGCGTATTTGTCTCACTATTTCCTATTTTTCCTCCGAAATACGCCTGCAGGGGGACTTGCCCGACCTAAGACTATAGTTGTCGCGGCCGAGTAGGGTGGTACACAGACGTGTCTGCCCTCAGCCACTGCACCGAGGAAGCAGAGGAGGGGAGGGAGGGACGGAAGGAGAGCGACGGAGGGAGGAGGAAGAGGAGGAGGAGTTGGAGGAGGAGGAGGAGAAGGAGGAGGGGGAGAAACGAGAGCAGCGGCACGGGGGGGAGGAGCGGGGCTTCCTCCATGGTTCTCCTCTCATTCCTCCTCCCTTTCGGGCCGGCTCGTCCCCGTCCCAATCCCTCGGACGGGGCAAGGACGAGGATAGATCCATTCCGGAGCGTTCTGGGACGGCCTCGGAGCGCTCCAGTTGGCTTCGCCTCAGTCCCCCTCGTCCGCCACGCCGCCCACGCTTCATCAGAGATTGTCGCTTCATCCTCCCCGTCCGCCACGCCGCCCACGCTTCCATCAGTTGTTCAGGCCATGTCGTACGCAGCAACAGTTAGGTCGGGCGTGTCCCTCTACAGAAGGAATATTCAAACAAAAACAATCAAAAAATCGTCAGGGGACGATTTTCCTACTATTTTTGACAATCGTTTGACTATTTCTGATTCTTCCTCCACAATCCGCCTGTAGGAATACATGCCCGACCTAAAGCAGCAGCGTCGGGCCAGCCACGCGCGAAGCGCGCCCAGGTTCTCCGCCCCCCCACCACCCACAGCGCGGGCGCCCTTCGCCCATCCTCTCCGCGGGGAGGGGGGGAGGGGGGGGAGCTGCAGGTGCGCCCTCGCCGGCGGTGTCCCGCTGAGAAGAGGCATCTCCTCCTCCTCCTCCTCCGCCTCCGCCTCCTCCTCCGCCTTCCGCCTCCGCCTCCTCCTCCTCCGCCCTCCTCCTCCTCCTCCTCCTCCTCCTCCTCCTCCTCCTCCTCCTCCTCCTCCTCCTCCTCCTCCTCCCCTCGCTCCGTCCTCGATCGCACCTCCTTGCCTCTCCTCGTTTTTTGTCGGGGGGGTGGGCCCTCCACGCTGGGCCTGCCCGGGGGCAGACGTACGAGAGCCTGATGGTGGCCAAGAAGAGGGAGCTGGAGGCACTCACGTCCTCCATCGAGTCCAAGACCAAGAAGATCGGGGAGCTCAACGTTGCGGTCGTGGAGATGAAGGCCGAGGGGGGGGGGGACTGGTTTGGAGGAGGGCGGAGGACCACGGCAGGGAGGCAGAGGAGGGGAGGAGAAGAGGAGAGGAGGAGAGGAGGACGAGGAGGAGGAGCAGCAGCAGCAGCAGCGACAAAGGCACCGGCTGGAGTGGCGGCAGGCGCCGGGGCAGGATCGGCAGGAGGAACGCGAGGGCGGGGGGGAGGCGGGAGGGGCGGCAGCAGCGTGCGCAGTGCAAGAGCAGGGGCGGCGAGGAGGGGGGAGGAAGAAGAGGCGGGGGCGCGGCGAGGAGGGGCGGGGAGGTGGGCGACGAGGAGCAGGACAGGGAGGAGCCCAGAGTTAAATCGGGCATGTCCCTCTACAGGGGGAATATTCAAAAGTTGTTAAAAAAATAGTATGGGGGCGATGTGTCTGATATGTTTGAATAGTTTGGCGCATGTTCTGAGTATGTTTCATTTTTCCTCAGAAATCCGCCTGCAAGAGAACATGCCCGACCTAAGCCCAGAGGGGGTTAGCCCCCTCGGCCCGCTTGCGCTCCTGAGTGCGTGAGCTCGTGCCAACGTGTCCGAGCGGGAGAAAGGGGGGGGATGAGGAGAGATGATCGGGGGCAAAAACATGGCATAACCATAGACTCTCGGAGGTCCGCGCGGATTTCTCGGATCGGCGTTTGGGCCCCTTGGCGGCATTTGCAGCGCGCGCCAGGGAGGGGGTCCAGCGCCGATCCAAGACATCTGCGCGAATCTCCCAAAATTTCTGCTCACGTCATGAGTTGTTCTGTTAGATGAGAGGGGACGTGGAGGAAGAGCAAGAACATGCCCGTCGCATTGTCCTGCATTATGTTGTTCGGCCTCCCCAGCTGCAGCGCCCGTCCACTAGTCTGACGAGACTACCTGTGCCGGTTTCATCTGCCTATTAATTCTCTCCCGGTGTGCCCTCCTCATGTTCCATTCCTCTTTCATCATCCGAGTTCCTCCTCGTAATCCTCAAAGACATCGCCCCCACCTCCCTCCTCCTCCTCCTCCTCCTCCTCCTCCTCCTCCTCCTCTTCATCCTTCCCTTCCTCCTCCGCCTCCTCCTCCTCGTCCTCATTATCATCACCATATTCATCAGCAGCATCATCAACATCATCAGCAGCAGCACTGGCGGCTTGTCGAACTCGAACACCCGCGTCAGGATCGCCGCCGCGTCGACACGACGCAGACCTGCCACAACATCAGCAACAGCATTAGCATCAGCATCATCATCAGCACCATCATCATTCGCCTCGTCCGCCACCTGAGTGCTGGGAGAACGCGGGGTCCGGGCGCACAAGCGCCTTCGTGTCCGCGTCAGCCGCGGCGCAAGGTCGCTATGTCGCCTCGCGTACGATCAGTTTGTTTTCTTCGCTCGATGTGTATGATTCCCACTCTGCCCATCCTATTCCTCACTTCTATTCCCCCATGATACCCCCGACCCCCCTTGTCGCCACAGCAGCAGTGGCAGCTGTAGCAGCAGCGGCTTCCTTCAGCAGTGCATGTAGCACCGTAAGTGGCGGCAGTAGCATCAGTAGCACCTGTCGTCGCAATATAGAGGCGCCGTTTGCAGATTGAGCAAACATAGTTGCAAGCTTGTCGGCATTTAGCAGAAGCCATAGCGGTAGCAGCAGCAGAAGCAGTAAGAATCAAAAAACAATGGCAATCCTAATATTCAGCATCAGAATGGCAGCGGTGGTGCGCGGCCCCAAGCGGCAGTAACATTGGTAGTTGGGGCGGAACAAAGGCAGTTGGTATTCGATTTGAGTTGCGCGTCATGCATTGTATGATTCATCCCATGTCCATCTGCAGGAACTCACGATCCCCTCCCCCGCCCCCGTCCTCCTCTTCCCCTTCCCTCTGCCCTCCCACATGTTACATCCCTCCTGTTCTCTAGCCCTATTCGTCCTGCAGCTCCTCATCCGTCTGCTGTGTTTGTTTGTCTGATCCGCCCTCATCATCCGCATTCCCAGAATCAGCAGCACCAGCATCATTATCAAGCATGGTTCTCATCGTCATCATCATCAGCAGCATCAGCATCGGCAACATCAGCATCATCACCATCAGCAGCATCCTCATCATCGTCATCCTCATTGTCGCCATCATCATCATCATCATCATCATCATCAACATCAACATCAACATCATCATCATCATCAGCAGCAGCAGCATCAGCATCAGCATCACCAGCAGCAGCATCATCATCATCATCGTCGTCGTTGCCATCGTAATCATCGTCATTCTCATCATCAGTAGATTCATCAGTATCCTCATTATCTGCATCAGCAGCAGCAGCATCGTCATCAACAAAATCATCACAAGCAGCATCAGCATCATCAGCAGCAGCAGCAGCAACAGCATCATCATTATCATAATCATAATCAGCATCATGTTCATCTGCAGATTCATCGTCACCTTCGTGTTCGTCTTCACCTGCATCTGAACTACCATCAGCACGCGGAATCAGCATCAGCATCTTCAGCAGCAGCGTCAGCATCACCAGCAGCGTCATCATCACCATCACCAGCACCACCATCATCATCATCATCATCATCAGCAGCAGCAGCAGCAGCAGCAGCATCATCATCGCCATCATCACCATCACCATCACCGTCATCATCACCATGACCACCGTGCTGCATGACGACGACATCGAAGTCCACCCTGAGGCTGGCCCGTCCACGGGGCCGCAGCCCGACCACGGCGCCGAGGACGCTGCGGACGGCAGCGCGGCTGGAGGCCCCGCCGACGGCCCACGGGCAGGGCCAGACCTGCCTCACGGCAGCAGCACGAGCACGCACGGACAGCTCGGGCTCGGGCGTCTGCTCTGCCAGAGGGGCTGCGAGCGCGGACCCGGGACAGCCGCCGCAGCCGCAGCGCGACGGCGGCCAGCGCGAGAGGGCGGCGCGAGCAACCGGCCCCGATGCCAGCGGAGCGCAGAGGAGGCGGCGCGGCCCGAGGCCGTCGGCCACGGAGCGGCCGACCCCGCGGCGGGAGCCCCGCAGTGGACGCCGTGGCCGACGCAGTGCCTGCAGCGCCCGCAGCGTCAGCGCCGCCGCGCTCGCGCTGGAGCTCCAGCCTGGCGCAGAGCCATCGGGCGTGGACCATCGGCGGCGGCGCCGAGAGGCTCGTCTGCTGCGCGGCGTGTGCGGCCTCCGCGGGGAGTGCAAGGCAGCGGCGACGCGCGTCGGACCGCCGGGCCGCGGCGCTGCGGCGCTTGCGCGCCAGGGTCGGGGCGGGCCTTCTCTCCAGAAGGCCCGGAAGTTGTCCCTGGCCTTCCGAGAAGTCTCCCGAGCCTTCCCTGAAGACATTCGGGCGTCCCCAAACGGGGTGGTGACCACACCGTGCGGTGAGTCGGTGGGGATTCGGGGTCTCCGCACGGTTTTGGGACTCGGTTCGTTCTCCGAGGACGCCTCGGGCGATTGGGGCATCCGAGGCCCCAAAACAGTGCGCTGACGGACCGTGCGGTGAGGTCATTGAGGATTTCGAGGTCACCGCACGGTCTGTCACCGCACCGCTTCGGGACTCCAAAGACATGGAAGACTTCTCAGAATGCGTGAGGCCTTCTAAGAAGTCCCGCCGCCTTCTGAGGAGGCCTTCTCCTTCTCGCTTCCCCCCCTGGCTCGCCGCCGACCGGGAAAACGAAGACGGATTAATGATACAGTTGGCACTGTTGCATTGCATGGTGCTGCGTCGCCCCATTATGGTGCATCATTTGCCACAGCGCGCGCGTGACACACTGGTGTCGCCGAGCCGTCGGCCACGTTCGCTTAAATGGGTCAGGTTAGCTTTGGCGCAGTGTCGACAGGGCCTGGGCCAGGTTAGGTTTGGAATTTCCCCCTCCTCCTCCTCCTCCTCTTCCTCCTCCCTCCCTCCCTCCCTCCCTCCTTCCCTGCCTCCCTGCCTCCGTCCTCCCTCCTCCCTCCTCCCTCCCCCTCCTCCCTCCTCCTCCTCCCTCCTCCTCCTCCTCCTCCTCCTCCCTCCTCCTCCCTCCTCCCTCCCCTCCCCCTCCCTCCCTCCCTCCCTCCCTCCCTCCCTCCCTCCCTCCCTCCCTCCCTCCTCCCTCCCTCCCTCCCTCCCTCCCTCCCTCCCTCCCCCCTCCCTCCCTCCCTCCCTCCCTCCCCCCTCCTCCTCCTCCCCCTCCCTCCCTCCCTCCCTCCCTCCCTCCCTCCCTCCCTCCCTCCCCTCCCTCCTCCTCCTCCTCCTCCTCCTCCTCCTCCTCCTCCTCCTCCTCCTCCTCCTCCTCCGGGGGAGCCGGAGCTTGGGCCAGGCTCATGGCGGCGCGGCGTGCCCGCTGGCCCGGCGGCGCGTCGCGCGGCGGGCGCTCTCTGCTGCCGGGGGCCGCAGGGGTGGTGAGCCTAGGCTTGGGCCGGGCTGACCGGGCGGCGCGGCGGTGACGGGGGGCGCCCGCGGGGCGACGTGGGGGCGCAGTGCGCGGACGCGGCATTCGGAGAAACGGTAACGATCCGCCTGCCCCCCGCCTTGCCCCGCCGTCTCGCCCCTGCGCTCCCCCGCCCCGGCCTCATCTGCTGCGCCTCGTCGCCGGCGCCCTGGCCCGGGCTCTCCGGGTCACTGCCGCCGGGAGAGGCTGGGGGGATCCTGGCGCGAGTACCCCGCGCGGTCGCCAGTCGCGCCCTGGGACGTCGGCACTTCCTGACCGCGCGTGGCACCCCGCGCCAGGTAGCCCCTGGCCGCCCCCGTCGGCGCCGGGTGGGGCTCGGACGGGGGGGGGGCGGCGGCCTGGCCCCCTCACTGCCTGACGGGAGGTGCAGGACTTGACTGGCGAGGCCACGCGGGCGCCGGGGAGGCGGGCGGTAACCCAAGTGCGGCGCTCCACGCTCCTTGGCGGAGCGGTGGGCGCATCGCGGGGGTCACGGCTGACCCCGGCGGCGCGTGGCCTGCAGCCCCGCGTCCGGGGGCCGCTGGGGGGCCGGCGCGCTAGGGGGAGGGCGCCACCGCCCGCGCAGCGCGTGGCCGAGTTCCGGCCAAACTCGGCCACGTGAGGCGCGGACGGGGGCGCTGACGGGGCCGCGGGCCCCAGTGGCTGGTCGCCCTGTCCCCTCCTCCCCCCCTTGGTTCTTTTCGCGGGGGGCTCGGGGGGATGGCCGTTGGGGGGCCGGCGCGCTGGTGGGAGGGCGCCACCGCCCGCGCGGCGCGTGGACGAGTTCCGGCCGAACTCGGCCACGCGGGGCGCGGACGGGAGCGCTGACGGGGCCGCGGGCCCCAGGGGAGGGCCGCCCACCCCCACCTCCCCTTCCTTTTCCTCTTCTCGTTGGGGGCTCGGGGGGGTGCCGCTGGGGTGCCGGCGCGCGGGGGGGAGGGCGCCGCCGCCCGCCCGGCGCGTGGCCGAGTTCCGGCCGAACTCGGCCACGCGGGGAGCGGACGCTAGCGCCCCGACGGTGCCGCAGAGGATGGTCGCCTCCTCCCCCCCGCCCCTCCCCTCCGCGCTTTCTTTCGCATGGGGAGCCCGGGGTGGGAGATGGTGCTGTGGGAGGGGACCGCCCCCTCGCGGCCACGCGGACCCGCGGCTGAGGCAATTGTGGGGGGGTTGGACGCGCCCATCCCACACCCCTTGGCGGACGGGGGCGCCGCGCTCCCCCGTGAAAGGTACCCCCTGGGGCAGCGGCGCCCCCGGCTCCCCAAGGCGCGGGAGCCGAAGGCCCAGGGGGCGGATGTTGTCCCGCGCCGGGGAGTCGCCCGGCCCCTCGGGGACCCCCCGGGGGCCGTCCGGAATAACATAGTCCGAAACATAGTCCTCCTCCTCCTCCTCCTCCTCCCTCCTCCTCCTCCTCCTCCTCCTCCTCTCCTCCTCCTCCTCCTCCTCCTCCTCCTCCTCCTCTCCTCCTCCTCCTCCTCTCCTCTTGCTCCCGTAGTTGGTTGCATGACAGGTCATCCGAGCGTCCTCCGCCCTTCCTCCTCCTCCTCCTCCTCTCCTCCTCCTCCTCCTCCTCCTCCCTCCCTCCTCCTCCTCCCTCCTCCCTCCTCCCTCCTCCCACCTCCCTCCTCCCTCCTCCCTCCTCCCTCCTCCCTCCTCCCTCCTCATCCTCCTCCTCCTCCTCCCTCCTCCTCCTCCTCCTTCTCCTCCTCCTCCTCCTCCGCCTCCTCCTCCTCCTCCTCCTTCCTCCTCCTCTTCCTCCTCCTCCTCCTGCTCCTCCTCCTCCTCCTCCCTCCTCCTCCTCCTCCTCCTCCTCCTCCTCCTCCGGGGGGAGGGTTGCACGCCCCACGCGCGGCGGCGCGGCGAGGCAGAGCGGCTGCTGCGGCCGCTCGGGCGGGCCCGCCGACGGCCGCGGCGCGCCGCCTCAGAGCGCGCGCCGCAAGCGGTGCGTCGGGTCTGTCCCCCTGGAGGAGTACAGGCAACCATGATAGTGAGGATGGGCAACCTTCCCAAGGGTACCCTGGCATCCTTGCCTCCTCGGTCCATCCTTTGCTGCTTCTCTGGCCGCGCCCCGCTCGAAAAGCTTCGAACTGGGCGTCCAAGGCCCTTGCATCCTTATCGCGAATCCTTACTTTACTGGTTGACTGTAATATCCAAAATGCTATAACAAAAATCCCTGGGACGACTTCTGGCCCATTATTTTTGACTAGTTCTGGATATGTTGTGACTTTTGCTGTTTTCTCCCAAACCCGCCCGTGGGAGGATGCGCCCGACCTGACGCGAAAGCGCCCCGCGGCTGCGCGCGCGTGCCCGTCCCTCTCCTCGGCATCCCTCGGGCGTGTGCCTGCTTCCCTCGGCCAGGACCCTAGGTCGCAAGGAGCCTCCCGGCCCGTCCCGCGAAAAGGCCGCGCAGAGAAGCCGGGGAGGGGGCGTCGGAACGACGGCAATCGGCCCGCCCCTCTCTCTCCCCCCCATCCGCCCTGCGGGGGCTGTCTCGCCACGCCAGGCGCGGCGCCTTTTTTTCTTCACCCCGCGGCCCGCCCCTCGGGCCCGTCGGCCCGCCGCGCCGCCTCCGGGAGACCAGCCGCGTGCCGCAGAGGGGGAGGGGCCCTCGGCCCGCGCCGCGCGGGCGGCCCAGCCGTGGGCGCCCCTGCCTCGTCGGCCGGCTCTGGCTCGGACATCCTGGGCGGCGCTGGCACGGGCCCGCGCGGGCCCGGTGGGGAGGTCCTCCTCCTCCTCCTCCTCCCCCTCCTCCTCCTCCTCCCCTTCCTCCTCCTCCTCCTCCTCCTCCTCCTCCTCCTCCTCCTCCTCCTCCTCCTCCTCCTCCTTCCTCCTCCTCCTCCTCCTCCTCTTCCTCCTCCTCCTCCTCCTCCTCCTCCTCCTCCTCCTCCTCCTCCTACTCCTCCTCCTCCTCCTCCTCCTGGCACGGGCCCGCGCGGGCGCTGCCGTGGGCTCGTGGGGGCCGATCGGGCCCCCGCCCCGGTTCGCGCGCTGAAGGTAGGTCCGCGACAGGGTCGGCGCAGCGGCAGCCGTCCGGAAGCCCCGTGGCTTGGTGCCCAGTCATCGCCATCGGCATCGGCGGCGGCATCGTCACCAGCATCATCGTTGCAAGTCCTCGACGCCGGTCCATCCTCTCTTCCGCGGCAGAGGCCGATTTGGCAGACACGGCGGACTCCCTCACCGAGGACCAGGCGGCGCTGGGGAGGGGGGGGGGCGGAGGCAGCCACGGGGAAGGAAAGGAGGAGGGAGGGGAGGGCGAGGAGGAGGACCTCCAGGAGGAGGAGTGCGAGGGGGAATGAGAGCGAGTAGGGGCAGGCGAGGAGGCGGATCGGGGTGTCCGTGGGAGTGGACGGAAGCAACGAACGCACGAGCCACCACCGCGGACAATCGTCCAGGCCTGGCTGAGACCGGGTGGGGGCTGCTATGCCCGTTTTCGGGGACACCTACAGGGGGGGGGAATGGCAGAGCAGCGGAGGAGGAGGAAGAGAGGAGCAGGAGGAGGACAGGGAAGAGCAGGAGGAGGAGAAGGAGGAGAAGGAGGAGAAGGAGGAGGAGGAGGAGGAGAAGAAGGAGGAGGGAGGAAGAGAGGGGGCCAGAGGATGTTGGGGAGGAATCCCCCAGGGAGGGAGGGGGCCAGCGTTCCTCCGCATCCGCGTCCTGCTCCTCTCCCCGGCCCGAGCGTCGCCCTCCCAATGCTCGCATTCGCCCTCCTCCTCCTCCTCCTCCTCCTGCTCTCCCATAGTCTTCCCCGTCCCCTGCCTCCCCACTCCGCCGCCCTCTCCCCTTCCCCCCCCTGGTCCTCCTCCTCCTCCTCCTTTTCCTCCTCCTCCTCCTCTTCCTGTTCTTCCTCCTCCGCCTCCTCCGCCTCATCTTCTTCCTCCTCCTCCTCCTCCTCCTCCTCCTCCTGTTCCTCATCCTCCTCCTCATCCTCCTCCTCATCCTCCTCCTCCTCCTCCTCCCCTCATCCTCCTCTTCATTTCCATATTTCCGTCCCCCAAATATCCTGCTCCTTCTGTCATCCTCCTATTTCTATTTCCCAGGGCGGAGGAGGTCTGTGACGCACCTCGGTCGACACGGGACCTCCCCCTGCCGCTGGGTGGCGCTCCAGGGGGCGTCAGCCACTTACGCCACCAGCGGGAGGGTAGATCATGCAGGCGGCCTCCTTGTGCCAAAAAGCAGGAGGGGGGCAGCAGAGAGGCAGCTGCAGCCACAAGTCACTGTGCCTTCAAGCGGGGGTCTCAGCCCGCCACAGAAGCAAGCCTACAACTCCGCCGCCTGCTCACAGGGTCCGCTTACACGCCGCCAATTCACCCACTCACGATACCACATCTGGATGCCGGCCCAAGCCTCCCGCCTCTCTGAGGTCGCGGTCCCTGGCACCCCCCTCGGCCACCGCGTGGAGAGCGCGGTGCGAGACTTAGCGGGGTCCAGGACCACCCCCGCAGCCCGAAGGCAGGTGGCACGCACCCCTAGAGCCTCCTCCGCCGACGCAGTTGGTCGGAGTGACCCCGGCCGCACACCCTTTGAACCCGGCCGGGCACAGCCTGAGGGCGTTTGCAGTGGGACCGCACGGCAGAGAGGGACCGAGCCCCGCGGACCAAGACCGCACCCCCCAGGGACCAGCTCAGGGAGCGCGTCCAAGGACCACGGGGCACGGCCCTTCCCACCGCAGCGCAGCCCCCGCAAAGGCCACGAATTTGGTGGACTTCAGTTCCCAGGGGGCCTCGACGTGCCGCCCTCGCGCCGAGGCACCCCTCCAGGGGCTTCTTTTGTCATCTTCCCTCTTCCTCCTCCTCCTCCTCCTCCCTCCTCCTCCTCCCTCCCTCCCTCCCTCCCTCCCTCTCTCCCTCTCTCCCTCGCTCCCTTCCTCCCTCCATCCCTCCCTCCCTCCCTCCTGCCTCCTCTCTCATCCCTCATCCCTCATGCCTCCTCTCTCGTCCCTCATGCCTCCGCCCTCCTGCCTCCTCCCTCCTCCCTCCTCCCCCCCTCTTTCATCCCTCCTCCCTTCTCCCTCCTCCTCACCTTCGCTCCCTCCCTCCCTCCTTCATCCCCCCCCCCTGGAGGCGTTCGCGAAGGAGCTGGAGAAGGGCTGTTCCACCAAGTCGGCCGAGTGGGCGGAGAGGCGCGGGCGGGATGGCTAGCCTCCCCCCAGTTTCCCCTCCTCAGCTACATACGTACTCGATGTTGATACTTCTCTCCTCTCTCCCCTGGTACGGGCTTCTTGTCCACACGGTTATCGGGTTGTGTTTTCTTTGAGCAGGAGCTTCCCGAGCTGGATGCTGATACGCATGGCCCCATCAGAACGCCCCCGGTCCTTCGAAGGTGTTACTGCAGCGCTGGCCGCAGCTTAGGGTCGGCGCGTTGTTCCCGTCGTTCGGGTGTGCGCTCTCGCCCCAGCCAGGGCCACACTGTGGATCCGATTCGTGTCTCGTCGATTCCGTCCCCCTCCGTGTCCTTCCTCCGCCTTCCCCTAGTCGTCCCACGCCTTATGTGCCTGCTGCTGAGCCATATGATTCATCGTGCTTCTACACATCATGCCTCATCCTCATCCTCGTCCAGTGGAAGTCAATGCCCGTTCAGACCGTGTACCACACAATAGGGGCCAGTGTGGGATCAGGTCATCTAGGACGAACCAGCCCGTTGATAGAAAGGAAGACAGCGCAATGGGTAAGGAAGGATGGGAGGAGTTGGATGTCATATATCTCTACATACATGCATGTATATGTGCGTATACATATACAAGACTGCAATGGCGCTTCGCGCCATGCACCTTGGTCCTTGAAGTTTGGTATGCTGGCGGATTCGCAGGAAGGTCAAGCCGACAATGTAGCGATGACTCCTTGTTGCCTTTGCCGGCATCGCCGCTATAATAATGTTATTCGGTATCCTTCCTCCATGCTTCTGTTTCCTCATGTTCGCCATGCCCTGCGCATTCTCCCCAACCTCCTCAGCTCTTTTTGCCGAGGCTCCTCCTTGGAGAGCCTCTGGGGGCCTCACAAAAGTTGTTTCAGGCTTTCTGAAAGGCCTTCTCGAGGCCTCCTGGGAGTGTTCTGGGGGCCTCTGGGAGCTTCCTCGGGCCACCCTGCCTCCAACCGCGGTCTCCCTGAACGCCCGGGCCACGATTTGGAATGCTTTGGAGGGTGTCTTGGGGCCATCTTGGGCCGCCATGGGGCTCTCTGAGGGCCATCTTGGACCCCTGTTGTGCCATTTTGGGGCTTTCTTGGACTGCCTGGAAGCCCTTTCGGATGGTTGTGGTGCGTTTGGGGAGCCTCCCAGGCGGCTTCGCACGCCCAGAAGACCGCCGTCTTGGAGCGTTGGGAAGCCGAAAAGAAAAGAACCCAAAGATTCACCAAAAACAATTTAAAATCAATGATGTGTGCCTCTTGGGGCCTTCTTGGAGTGCTCTTGGAGGCCTCTTGGGACGTTTCGGGACGAAATTTGAGGGTATGATGGCTTCTTGGGGGTCGTCGTGGACCGCACTGGGGCTCTCTGGGACGCCCTGCGAGGCCCGGGGTGCCGCTTCGAGGCCCGTCCGAAGGGTCCCAAAGCCCCAGATCCCCGGAGTCCAGTTTTTTGGGGGGGATCCCCCCCGCCCGGGCTTATGAAAATATAGGGAGAGGAATATGTGGCGCGAGTGCGCCCAGCTTGCCCTCCCCCTTTGCGTTCCCTCTCCTCCTCCTCCTCCTCCTCCTCCTCCTCCTCCTCCTCCTCCTCCTCCTACTCCTACTCCTACTCCTACTCCTACTCCTACTCCTACTCCTACTCCTACTCCTCCTCCTCCTCCTAATCCTACTCCTACCAACACCCTCCTCCCTCTCCTACCCTACTCCTGCCTCCCTCCTCCTCCTCCTCCTCTCTCCCCTCCTCCTCGTCCTCCTCCTCCACCTCCTCCTCCTCCTCCTCCTCCTCCTCCTCCTCCCCCTCCTCCTCCTCCTCCTCCCTCCTCCTCCTCCTCCTCCTCTCCCTCTCCTCCTCCTCCTCCTCCTCCTCCCCTCCTCCTCTCCTCCCTCCTCCTCCTCACTCCTCCTTTCCACCTCCTCATCATCATCTCATCATCATCAATCATCATCATCAGCAGCATCATCATCATCATCCTTATCCTCCCCCGCCTCCTCCTCATCCTCCCCCGCCTCCTCCTCTTCCTCGTCCTCCTCCTCCTCTTCCTCCTCCTCCTCCACCTCCTCCTCCTCCTCCTCCTCCTCGTCCTCCTCGTCCCACTCCCTCCTTCCCCGAGCTCCTACCCCTCTGTTCCCCCCCTCCGTCTCACTTGTTCCTCCTCCTCATCCTCATCATCCGTCCTTCCTCCTCCTCCCCCCTCCCTGGGAAGAGGAGGGGGAGGGTGCCAGGGAGGAGGAGGAGGAGGAGGAGGAGGAGGAAGAGGAGGAGGAGGAGAGAAGCGTTCGTGGGTTATTGGAGGTGGGCAGGGGAGAAGAGGAGGGTGAAAGAGGTGCAATGGGAGGAGCTACTCGAACGGCAGGACAGAGAGGGGAGGGGAGTGGGAGGAAAGGAGGGGGGGAGGCGGCAGGAGGACGGACGGCGAGAGAGAGAGAGAAGAGCGAGAAGGGGCATGCCCTTGCAGCTGGTCCTTCCCCGCGGTCCCGCTTTCCGTCGCCCCTATGCATTTTATGATTGGTTTGCCTACGCGTTGCGTGACGCATCTCACCGTCAGGCAACCTCCCCTGCGCCTCACTATCGTGGTTTCGCCCCTTGTCTCCTCCTCCACTTCCTCATCACATTGCAGATCCGCAGCCTGATGCCGCGGCGCGGGCAGGGGGATCCGAATCTCTGCAGTTGTGTGAGGGTTTAGGCGTGTCGGCGAAGGTCGTGGTCGCTGAGCAGTGCCGTTCGCTTCCTTCATCGCCGTGCACCAGGGAGCTGGAACTGCACGGCACGGCTGGGCGGGTCGAGAGTTCTCCAGATTTCGGCCCCTCGACGGCCAGGGGCAGATATCCCGACTCCCGCTGCCTCGAGGGCCGGGCTCTTCAATTAGACGGCCCAGGGCATGTGCGCTGCGACGGTGTTGGCACGCCGGTTCCACGAGCCGTGAGGTCCCATGGTGCAGGATCAAGTCGGGCTTGTCCTTCCACAGGGAGAACATTCAAAAATAGTCAACAAAAAATGGTCGGGGGACGGTGTTTTGACTATTGTTGGCCATGTTGGAGGCATTTTGGGGGCACTTTTTTTTTTTCGTTCAAAATCCGCCTGTAGGGTGACGCAGTTCGGTTTCCTCAGTGCCGTGCGGTCCCTGAAGATCCAGTCTCCCGTCATGCGCTTGGGTCCTCTTCGCGGGCGGGAATCCTGGGGAGGATGGGGAAGCAGCGTGAGGAGCCGTTCCTGCCTGAGAGGCGTGGGAGGAACAGAAGTGGTTCGTGAACCAGCGGTTCGCACACCACGAATACGGAGCCCTCTTGCCACGTCCCTGGCGTAGAGGAGGCCAGGGGTTGTTCCAAGGCTATCAGGGGTACAAAGCGTTGGTTTGGCCGTCTTTTCATGATAAGGCCCGACATCGGCAATTCAAGACTTAGGATGTGCGCCAAAACGCTGTTTTCAGCAATCGATCGGGACGTTGTCACTTAAAGAGCGCATCAAAACGATTCGACAACCCAAAACGCCGTTGTGGTCGACCCCCGAAGCTTGTCATTTCCGCGTTCCGGAGCAAATCGAAGAGCCGATTGTTGGAGGCCGCGTAAAGGGTGAGGGGGGGGGGGGGGGCGATAAAATGGGGGGGGGCAGCGAGGGCTGTCGAAAAGGAGCAATGTAGGGCCCAAAAGGGGCCCTTTGGGCTTTTGCGGCCCGAGAAGGACACCTGTCTCCCCCCATGTATCGCCCCCCCCTACATTCATTCGCGCCCAAGATGCTACCCCATCGGGCAGGGTAAGGGGCAGGCCTACCGCGCCTGGAGGGGCGTCACAGTGCGTTTCTGCACGGCGAGCCTGGCGAACCTCTGGACCATCTCAGCTGTTCCCTGGAGCGGAGCGTTACAGTCGGACCAGGGTATGAGATCGACGTCGGCCCGGGGAGAGTACCCTCATGTCATTTGTGTTTGCTGGACGGCATTGTGCATCCTGGGGAGGGCACTCTTGGACGTTCTGTGCGCTTTGGCCGACGAAGGGTCTCATGTTCGTGAGGGATGTCCGTCTGGCCTTGATCCGACTGTACGTCTGCAGCACACTTCATCTCCATCCTCCTAAGTGTAGATGCTCGCGATCATCGCGACTGAAGTGGAGACATGATCGCCCTCCTCTGACATCAGCATCCCGGCTCGCCTTGGCAATCCGAGCTTTGGTCAGCGCAGTGCACCCCTTCCCCCGCAAAGATACATCAAAAGATTAAAAAATGTACGAATGGCCGTCGGCCCATCCCGTCACCGTGCCTAGGTTGTGGGTATAAGGCCTACTAGATGTTCGTTGGAATCTCGTGTGGACGCCGAGTAGACGGGTCTCTTGTCACATATCCATGATCAATGCGACGTAGCAGACCTCTCGGGGCTTCTTGGAGGCAGTTTCGAGGCCCATTGGGAGCTGCTCGGGGTTTCTTGGGGCCTCTTAGGGGTTTGTGGGCCCTCTTTGGCGCTTCTTGGGGCCTCCTGGGGGCCTCTTGGGGAGGAAGGGTGGGATGTTCGGTGTGTGGTCCCTCTCTTGGGCCCCTTTCGGGGCCGTCTTGGGGCCCTCCTCTTGAGCCGTCTTGGGGCCCTCTTGGAGGCCTCTTGGGCCCTCTTGGGGTGGTCTTGGGGGCCTCTTGGGCCGTCTTGGAGCGTCGCAAAGCCGAAAAGGCGAGAACGCCAAAAATTGTCAAAGGCCTGAGGAAAATCAATGATGATTCCCTCTTGGGGCCCTCTGGGAAGGCCTCTTGGAGACCTGGCGTCTTGGAGGCCTCTTGGGCCATCTTGAGGCCATCTTGGGCGTCTTAGGGCGATCGTTCGTCGACTCGGGGGCCCTCTTGGACTCCTGGGATGGTTTGGGAGGTCGCTCTGGGGGCAGGCACAGGGCACTCCATTCCGGGCCAGAAGCACGGTGGCGGATCATGCATTTTTTGTGGTTGCCTTCGTCATCCGATCATATATATATATATTATTCGTCCTCGCCTCGCCCCTTCCGTGCTCGTTTCGCTTGGCGTACTCCGCGTCCTTCTCGGCACCGCCGGCGTGGCCTTCCTTCCGCCCGCGCAGCGAAGGCAGAAGACGCGCAGCGAGGAGCTGCTCGCGATCTCCGACACGATCAAGACTCTCAACGAGGGGCGGGCATGCGGTCGGGGGGTGCCTGCAGGAGGAGGGCGGAGGGAGGACGAGGACACGGAGGGGGCCCCGAGATCCGGGCGGTGCAGTTTCTGTCACGCAAGGCGTGCTCGCCCTGCTTCCGGCTCCAGGGCCGTTACAGTGGTTCTGGTCGTGATTGTTCACAATGTTACACGTGCCTTGTCACGTGGGATCTCAAGGGGAGGAGGAGGAGGAGGAGGAGGAGGAGGAGGAGGAGGAGGAGGAGGAGGAGGAGGAGGAGGAGGAGGAGGAGGAGGAGGAGGAGGAGAGGCGGAGGAGGAGGAGGAGAGGACAAGAGGAGGAGGTAGGAGAGGGAGGAGGAGGAGGAGGAGGAGGAGAGGAGGAGGCGGTAGCGAGGAGGAGGAGGAGGAGGAGGAAGGAGGAGGAGGAGAAGGAGGAGGAGGAGGAGGAGGAAGGAGGAGGAGGAGGAGGAGGAGGAGGAGGAGGAGGAGGAGGAGGAAGGAGGAGGAGGAGGAGGAGGCGGAGGAGGAGGAGGCGGAGGAGGAGGAGGAGGAGAGGAGGAGGAGGAGGAGGCAGGAGGAGGAGGAGGCAGGAGGAGGAGGAGAGGCAGGAGGAGGAGGAGGAGAGGAGGAGGAGGAGGATGAGGAGGAGAGGAGGAGGAGGAGGAGGAGGAGGAGGACGAGGAGGAGGAGGAAGGAGGAGGAGAGGGGAGGAGGAGGAGGAGGAGGAGGAGGAGGAGGCGGAGGAGGAGGGGGGGAGGAGGAGGAGGAGGAGGAGGAGGAGGAGGAGGAGGAGGAGGAGGAGGGGGGGAGGGCGAGGAGGAGGGGGAGGGGGAGGATGACGAGGGGGGGGGGGGAGGGCGAGGAGGAGGAGCAGGAGCAGGAGCAGGAGCACGAAGAGGAGGAGGACGAGGAGGAGGAAGAGGAGGAGGAGGAGGAGGAGAAGGTCCGTAGCCATTCTGGCTCAAGCTGGTCTTCAACCCCCTGCTCGCCAGTTCCGCATCGCGCATGGCCAGTGTCAGGAGGCGGTGCTGCTGGTGGCGGCAAGATGATTGAGATGGTACGGGAGGCTGCGGGCGATGCGCAGCCGCGGCGTTCTGCCGCTGAGCGAAATGATAGGTGGCGGTGGGCACGGCATTTTGCTGATCGTGCCGTGGCGAAGCTCACCGCGGAGCTTGGTCGCACGGAGGCGCGGCTGCAGTTGGCGGAGGACGCCATGGTGTCGCTCTTGGGAGACGCCGACCTCGCGGACCGCCTCTGCAGCATCTTCCCTGCGCTGTTGGCGCCAGCAGCTGGCAGCCAGCCGCGGTGGAAAGACAAGCTGCGCCGCAACATGGCCCTCTACTCCATCGCCGTGGGTGTATGCATCCATAGTGCTGGGGAGGATGAGCTGCGGCGCGCGCAGGATGGCCCCAGGTTTGGGGTTGGGGTGGAGTCGCGTGGGCACATCATCACTGCTTTGAAGAAGAAGAATAAGCAGCGGAAGGAGAAGGTGCATGAATGCAACAAGATGGCGATCAAGCAGGAGCAGGCTGGGCCTGTCGAGGTGAAGATGCTGGATTGCGTCGAGGTGTCTGTGCAGGAGGTTCTGCTGGCGCCAGAAAGGACGGATCTGACGCGGGGTGTTCTCAGTGTCGAGGCGGAGTGTTTCGCTCCGCTGGAGGAGCTGCACCACTAGGTCATGTAATGCCTTCCTCAGCGCTGTGGTGGTCGTGTTCAGATATTTGTTCGCCGACAGGGGCCTCATCGACGCGCTGGTGTCCAAGGCTGGTCAGTTTCCTGCCGCGGGGTCCCCACCCCCCCACGGTGGACGGCCCTGAGGGTTGGGAGCGAGCCGTCGCTGTCGGCATGGTCGCGCAGGAGGAGTTTTCGGGGCGCCGCAGGTGGTGTTCACTGGGGCGCGCTAGTCTGGGATGAGGCTAACTGCGAGGAGGTGGCTTGCGTGGTGCGCGCGGGCCCCATCCGTGAAGGTGACGACGTTTTCCTGTGCGTGGGCAACGAGTGCAAGAATTGTCGTGCGCATCCTGATGTGCAGCGGCTCGCGGTCCAGCATGAGTGAGCTCCTTGTCGTCGTCGCGATGCTCGTGGTCGCGGCGCTAGACTGAGTGAGGCGAGGTGCTGCGCAGTGCGCGGGGGGAACAGACGCGCTCCTCAATGCATCCGGAAGGAGACGAGGAGGAGGAGGAGGAGGAGAAGGAGAAGTAGAAGGGGGAAGGAGGAAGAGAAGGAGGAGGAGGAGGAGGAGGAGGAGGAGGAGGAGGAGGAGGAGGAGGAGGAGGAGGAGGGGGGAGGAGGAGGAGGAGGAGGAGGGGGGGAGAGGAGGAGGACGAGGACGAGGAAAGCGACAAGACGGAGGACGACGAGTGGAACAGCAGGACGAGGAGGGTGAAGAGGGGGGAGACTGAATTTCTCCTGGCTCTGGGGGTAACTTTCAAGCGAATTTCTTCGACATCCTGGAATCAGAGCACGGGACAGGCTAAAAGCAAACAACAACAAACAACAGCCGTGTGCTCCACAACTGTTTGCCATCTCGGGGGCGTTTTAGGGCCCTCTTCGTGGGCCGTCCTGGAAACGTTTCGAGGCCCTCTTCAGCCGTCTTGTGCCGTTTACCCATCCGTCCTCCCACAATGTGTTCTTCATGCGTCCCTGTTTCCTCATAGCCCCTCCGTCCTCCTCCCTATACATACGATATTCATCACCATCTCTCTCCCGCCACCCACCCCCAATCGGATTCCTCGTGTTCGTGCTCCTCCCTCGTGTTTCTCCTGTCCTTGTGTTCGCTATCCGCGTAGCATTGCGTGCTCGTATCCAACATGTCCTCCCTCCTCCTCCTCCTCTTCCTCCTCCTTCTGCCCTGTTTCCATCATCGTTATCCTTATTGCGTTCCCTCGTTTGTTTCCCTCATCGTTCCCATCCGCATCACCATCGCCCACTAAGCTTCATGTAGATGCATCCTGAATCGACCCCGATGTAATTGTAAAACAAAGTTATCTCACGTTCAAACGCCCAGTCACTTTTCATCCAGGGGGAGTTGCTTGGTTTGCGGCCACAAAGGCAAGCGGTCTAATGTTGCGGCCGCCGTTTTTGCTAATAACATTTGCGGTGGGGAGGACGACGACGCGCTCGAGCTCTTCAAGAAGACCCTCCCGTCTGCAAGCGCCAGCAGCTTTGTACAGATCCAGGTAAGCTCGAAGGCGATCCTCCTCTGCCCGCGTCTTTTCCGCATCATGCAGCATCGTCCTCTTGAGTGTGTTCATGAATTCTTCGCGCCTCGGAGCCATCCGCAGGAGCCCTCGCGACACACTGCAACCGCTCAGGAGGCAGAGCGTGGCCTCTTGGAGGCAGATTGATCACCACGTTCCTTTTTTTCCGGTACCTTGCGCAATCGTGTATGACATCTTGAAGTTTCCGGGGCCATCTTGGAGACAGTTTGAGCGCTGATGCGCCATCTGACCCCCCGTTGGGTGATGGGGCGCTCTCCAGGCCCAGGGAGGGACGTCCTCCGCACACGGCGGGCGAACACCTCTTGGCAGCGACCGTGCCTGGAAAGGGCGGCCCAGGCCGCCCCGCCGCCCCCAAGACGGCCGAAGACGACACGGGACGAGGCCAGGCAGGAGGCACGCCGGGGCAGCCACCCTTCGCCAGCTCGGCTCGTGTCCCTTCCTCCTCCACGCTGGCCCCTCTGCCCCCCCCTGAAGAGAGGGACCCCCGTAGCTCCCGAGTGGGCGAGGGGCGCGGAGCGGGCGAGACCAGGCAAGACGAAACGAGTCGGGACGAGGCCAGGCAAGACGAAGGCACGCCGAGACAGCCTTTTCCTCGCCCTCCCTGCTCGCGTTCCTCCTCCCTCCTCCCTCCCTCCCTCCCTCCCTCCCTCCCTCCCCTCCTCCTCCTCCTCCTCCTCCTCCTCCTCATCCTCATCCTCATCCTCATCCTCATCCTCATCCTCATCCTCATCGTCCTCCTCCTCTTTGGCCCTCTGCCCCCCGCCAGGCCATGCGCCGGAGGGCGCAGTCGGCGGTCAAGAGGGCGCGGCGGCAAGCTGCTGACCGGCACCGCGCGAGGATCGACCTCATCGCCTTGGCGCTGTCGGGCAAGAAGGCGCCAGATTCGGGCGGTCTCGGTTATGTGGGACTCGGACATCATTTCGGACGTTTTCGTTGGCTCTTGGCTGTTTTTCCCCCTGGGGATACATTCCAGCAGCTGCGCCTCGCCGAGGGCGTCCGGCGGGAGCCCGGATATTTGCGGACGGACGTTTGTGGCCCGACTTCTGGCCCGAAAACTACCAGGGGCAACGTTCGACTCAGGGGGGACGCATCGACCCCCAATCGCCCGATTTACTGGCACAACAAGTCTCCAGAAGACCACGAAGCCAAAACAAAGGGCACCGTGTGGCCAAAAGGCCAGGGCCACCTTCGAACTCGATGCTGAGAAAGACCTTCACGAGCGTTCCCAGTGGATCCCAACAACCCCCCTAGTAAGGCAGCCAGAGCCATAAAGCCGAAGGGGGGGGCGAGGAGGAGGAGGAGGAGGAGGAGGAGGAGGACTCCTCCTCCTCTCGTCCTCCTCCCCTCGTGTCCTCCTCCTTCTCCTCTCCTCCTCCTCCTCCTCGTCCTCCTCCTCCTTCTCCTCCTCCTCCTCCTCCTCGTCCTCCTCCTCCTTCTCCTCCTCCTCCTCCTGCTCCTGCTCTTCCTCCTCCTCCTTTTTATTTCCCTCCTTCACCTCTTCCTAGCCCCTGGGCTCGAAGGGTTCGAGCAGTCGGGGCCCGAGCATCGAATTTTAGAATGCAACCCATGGCGCCTGGGCCACGCGGCCGTCACACAGCCACGGGGTGACCATCGGCCATATCAAAGTTGAGACTGTTGGGCTGGAATCCCCCCGTGTGGGCTACTGGAGGTCGCCTCGCGGAGGTCGTAGCTGCAGACGGAACATGGATTTCGCGCTCTTGGTTGGCACCCACAACGTCTGCCGTGAGGCCCACAGTGGCCTCCAGCGGCGTATCGATGGCTGACTGGCACCAGACGCAGCAGGATCGCCAGGATTGTACACCAACTCGCTCGCTGGCGTCATTGTTCTTTTTGGACGTGGTAATCGTGACCATCACGTCCGCCCGGTGTTTCCCAGCCCGCCCGGAGTGGGAGGCCGCTGCCTGGCCGCTCGCGTTCGCCAGGGCGTCGAGGGCGTATGCGTGGGAGCGCGTTACTTTCATCTGCAGCGTCGAAGTCGCGGAGCGGGCCCACAGTACCCCCAGACAGTTGTCAAGATGATTCGGTGGTGGTGCACGTGCCTCTCCCAACTCCCAGGTCGTTGTGTTCCCATGTTCTACGCGACGTGAACGACGGCCTGGGCTGTCACAAAATAGATGGTAAGTGGCAGGAGTACGACAGCAGATATATCGGCACTGTGCGCACACGTGAACGACGTCGCCAGGGTGCTGGCTAATCGGTGGCCGACCTCCTGTCTCAACATTTTCTTATGGCGGCGAACACAGCTGGCAAGTGCGAGCCTTCGTTATCCCGAATGGACCTAGCAGCCTCATCGACGTCGTCTTCCTCCCTCTCGGCTGGGCGCCGCATACCACACAGTGCCACGCGCTGCGTCGGATCGGCGCCCAGCTTCAGTCCCAACGCGGCCAACCCACCTTGAGTTTCTTCACCCACGAGGGCCCCAGGATTGCAGCGAGACCCCGACGCCGTCCAAGCGGGGCACGTCTGCTCGTCTGGCCGCGGTCAAGACGGGCGAGCAGCGCATGGATTCCGTGAGTGGAGTCGCCAGCTGGCTGGCCGACCACGCCGAGGACCTGACCCTCGCCCGCGACCAGGACGCGCCCGACCACACCTTCGAGTCGCTAGAGCGCCGCTTGGCTGGTCGAGGCCGGCGCAGAGCATTTCAAAAAGTCGACCGATTTGCCCGACGAGCACGCGCCCCGGGCCAAGTTGAGGCGCGACATGTCCCAGAAATGGAGAACGACCTACGCGAGTTGTCTCAGCGGCTTCGTCTACTGCGCAGAAAGCAGGTTCGCGCTGTCCGTGAACCCCACGCCCGGGCATCCTACGAGGCGCAACCCCGTCGCAATTTGCGCGAGGCAATGGGCTGGGCTCGCCGGGGTGCCAGACGTCGCTTTTCCGCCAAAAGAAAGTTGATGGACGTCGGTTCGGAGGCACGCCCATCTCGCCGTCGGCCTGGCTGGACGTCTGGTTTCTCCCAGGTGGCGACAGCGGAATGGAGGTCGAGCAGACCGGCCTGGGCGAGCGGCCGGCTGGCCGAAACGATCTCGACCTGAGCTAGACTTACCACGCTACCCGATGCGATGGTCGCCCACAGCAGGTAGGACATCGCGACATCGGTCGCCTTCGCAGAGATGTTCGGCGCGCCCCCAAGAGACGAGTCGTTCCAGAAGGGCGCCCCCCCTGGAGCTCCGGCTGCAATTTCTCCGTCGCGATCGCGGAATGCAGCGTCAGCGCCCTGGCCCGGGGGCCCCCTCGAGCCCCCGACAAACCCGCCCAGATTCTGGGGGCCCCCCTGGGCCAGGCGACGAAGGCCAGGATCGTTGATTCGGCGCCGCCGCACTGGAAAGTTAACAAAGGCTGCGCTTTGCGCACGCCGGCCCAGCCAGGGCCTTGGAGGGAAAGAGAGGCCCGCGCGCCGCCTGCGGCGGGCAGAGCCCGCCGCCCGCGGCAGGCAAGGCCTGTTCCGCGGTTTTGTTGCCCAACGAGTTTTCTTCCGAAGCTTGCGGGCATCAGCGCCATCGCCGTCCAGAGGGGGCCATCGCGGCCCCCCGGGCCGTCGGGCGGGGATTGCGCAAGGGGGGTGGAGCTTCGGGGCCAGTCTTAAAGATATGAGCATCGCCTCCGGCAGTTCGAGTTGGGAGGCCATGGGCCAGAATATGCCCACCCCTGTTCAGCCTGAACACGTCGCGCCCGGAGCGAATAGATATCGCGACGCCGCAGTTCTGTTCCCAGGCGATGGGGGGGGGGGGGGGGGGGGGCTAGCGGTCCAGACGCGAGCGGGGGAAGTGCCGGGGGGCCCGTTCATGGTTGCCGCGCCATCCGCGACTATCGGCCGCCCCGCGCAGATGCGGACGGAGCCCCTCCGCGAGGCCGACCCTGACCATAGCGGGGCGGCCACGAGGTCGCCCATAGCTTATCCATGCGCGCCGATGACCTCCACTGCAACGCCCCCATGGCCCCCGGGAGCTCCGCGGGGACATTCCTGGCCAAACTGAAATATTCCGACGATTGCTTCGGTTCTTCCCCCCCGGATTACGGGCGCGAGCAAAATTGGGGCAAGCAGGGGCCGGCGGCTCGGGCCGACGGAGGGGGGCGGGGGGGGGCGGCGCGCGAGGAATGTGATTCGCGGGCCTAGACGGGCCCTGCCTTCAGGCGCGCTCAAGGAGGAGGCGCCCCATATCTCAGTGTCCCGGGCGTCCAGTCAGGAGATTGTCCGACGGCATCAGGGAGCGCATTCCGGCGTCTAAGCCATGGGCGGCTTCTGGTTTCTCAGATTGTCTCGGAAGCTCGCGTGCTCAGTTTTCATGTCATTGGTTCAGACTCCGGCCCCGTGTGGCCTGGAGGCCCCCCTTGTCACCCAGCGGCGACGTGCCACTTTGGACGCCGCGGCGGCGCGCTACGTTCGCGTCGCCACGCGCGGACGGGCCAATTGGGCGACCGAGACATGAGCGACTCGCACGTTGACGTCAGAGGGGGTTTCTCAGGCATTGGCGCATTTGCGACACACATTTTGAGCTCGGCATCCGTCGCTCCGACCGATGCAAGGCCTGGCCCCGCCGCCCCTCCAAACACCTCCAGCGGCTCTCGGCCCCCTCTGGCCCCGCGCGCTCCGAGTCGGGGCTGCCCCCCATGGCCGAGGGCGCCCTCACCTCCCAGGCCCCCCCGTGGGCTCGACGAGTTGTAGATGGCCGACGACGGGCTCAGAGGCCCATGGCTGACTACGAGGATCGGGCCCAATCGCCGCACGTCCTGACGCCCTGCGGTGTTCAGGGGCCCAGTCCGAGTTTGAGGTAATCGACGTCACCGCTGTCCGTTATAGCAACTGTGGATCTCACTTCGGACCTCCAGGGCGCACTGAGAGAGCTCCATGGGGCTCACCCAGAGGCGCCCGCCAACCCCGAGGAGACCCAGCTCACAACCAACAAAGGACCCATGGCACACATGCTTCCTCATTCTGAT